TAACAGATATTGCCTACTTCTTGTATTTAAACGTTAATTTGTCTGCAGAAAGGCGTGCAGAGTATGCGTGGATGGGTAAAATAGGCACAGAAGGGTTTTAATAAGCTGTGAGTTACCCAGTAACTTCACTCTGCTATATATATATATATATAATATATTATATAATAATATAATATATATAATTATATATTATATATAAATATATATTATATATAATATATATATATATTTATATAAATATGTTATAAGCCTTTTTGCCGAAGTTCGTGCACTCTGCTTATATATATATAATATTAAATTTTATAAATAATATACAGGTACATGCTATAAACTTCTAAATCGAAAAAATGACGAGATTGGTGCATTAAATTATTATTGGTAAAACTAATCTACTGGCCGCTTCTGAGTGGGTCATGGCGACGTCTCTCTGATCGTCCTGCTGGGCCGTTTGGCGCTGTGCTAAAAATATTAAAAAATGCGCACATCTCAGAGCGTAGCTCCCTTCTCTACTATCGTGCTAATAGCATCATATATTTATATTCTAACATCGCTTCGTTGACTATTTGATGAGTAGATTTATTTTCGGCCACATTAATATAGCAACGGCGTATAACGATTTAGCAGTAAAACAGTGTAGGCAGGCGTGTTTGATTCAGTCCAGCGGCTTGCCTGCAATACAACAGGCACTCGCGCCATTTTAATAATTAAATGATGCAAATAATAAAAGTTTGTAGCTTTAGTACGGAGACCTTCAAAATGTTGAATGTTTTACTCTCTATCGTCTCAGATGCTTTGAAATTGGCCGTCGCATCTTAGCGCAAACGCACGCCTATGATGCAACAGAGACAATAATTATGTATCCCAGTCATACACAACACACGCACACAACACACACACACACGCACAACACGCCGTATGTGTAAACAGAGACAATAGTATTATGCTATCAGCACACACGCCGAACACACACACAGCACCACACACATAGCAACGCACACACGCCTATGTGGCAGCAGAGACATAGATTATGTTATCACTTACACACGCACGAAGCACACACACACACACACACAACAGACCACACGCTATGTGGACAGAGACAATAGATTATGTAATCACACACACGCACTGAACACACCGCACACACTACACAACATCACGCGTAAGCACTGGCACACACGCGCTATGTGGACAGAGAGCAATAGATTATGTATCACAGACAAGCAACGAAGCACACGCACACACACACATACAAGCACACACACAACATACACGCACCAGCCTATGTGCACAGAGGACAATAGATTATGTATCAACACACACGACACACATCCACAACGCCACACACTCACACACACAAACAACTGGCGCGCGCGACACACACACAATGACGCGCACGCACATACAGCACACACACACACGCACGACATACACGCCAGCACACACTCGACAACTCACACACGCGACGCACAGCGCGCGCGCACAAAACAGATGACACGCTCAACACAACACAAACCATCGGCGCGGCGCAGCACACACGCGCGCGCACAAACCACGCACACAGGCATATGCACACACAGCGCACACGGCACAAACGATTGCACAGACCCACACACAAGCACACCACACCAACACAGACCGCGCACACACACACACGCACACACACAAACACACTGCGCGCGCACACACAGCGCACAAACACATAACGCACACACACACACACGCGCAGTCACAGCACACGCACAGCACCAAAACACACTGGCGCGCGCGCACACACACGCACAGCACATACACGCACACACACGCACATCACACACATACACGCACCACAACACATGCGCACCACACCACGCACACACACAAAACACACTGGGTGGCGCACACACCGCAACACACACGACATACACGCACCACAACATACACACACGCACACACACACATACACGCACGCACAACACGCACACAGAACACATACACGGGCACATATATGGCACACTATAATATAGCATATATACATACACATAATAAATCATATATTATATTATATATATATAATATATATATCTATATATTATATTATATATATATATTATAATTATTATTATATATATATATATAATAATATATATAATAGTCATGTTGGTAGTGGATGTTACGAAATACAGAGAATTTTAGGATTACAGATTCCGGGAAATTTTCCACTTTTTTTCTTTAAATTTCTAATCTTTTTAGGTGCGTATATAAGGCAACCGAAGGTTTTATAAGCTGTGAAGTTACATGCACTCTGCTATATATATATTAAGTAATATTAATATTAATTTAATGCATCTAATCGTAAATTTTTTTGATTAAAATTACATTTATGTGTGTACCTGTATATTATTTAACAATTTATATATATTATATATATATAAATTTTTAATTAATATACAGGTACACACATAAATGTAATTTTAATCAAAAAAATTTACGAGTGGATGCATTACTAGAAGCGCCCCACGTAAGATTAGTCTTTACCAAAATATTAATTTGGGTCACTGCCGATTCAGGAGACGTCGCTGTCTACAAATATTAAAAAATCACACATCTCAGCGTAGCTCCTTCTCTACTATCGGTGCCTAAAAGCATCATATTTATATTNGCCAACTACAAGGAATTGTGGGCAAGAATCTGAAACGGTATTCTAACCCTAGCAATACCGTTTCCTGGAGCTAGTCTGGTGCCATCTCTGTCTCTCTCTATCTCTATCTCTCTCCCTCTCTCTCTCTCGCTTGCTGCGTGTGCAGATAGCGCTCGCTACGCTGTGTCGGGTTTGCTGGCTTTTTTTGCAACCACGTAACTACTGCTATCTCTCGCTCTCTCTATCACGCTCTCTATGCGGTTGCCGCATTCATAGAAACATTTGGCTGATTGATGTCAGGGGTCGCTCGGCAACAGACGACGTCATCGGCTAGCGGCGAACCAGCGAGCGCTTGCTCGGTGATTGACAGCATCGTTGTTTCGGCCATTACGTCTTTACCTTGAGGCGCGCGATCCCCAAACATCTTTATGGGCCGTTTCGAGATAGTCTCTAGGCGTGGATCGCGAAATCACGCTTTGAAACAATCCCGTATTCGTGGAGTTCCGTTCCAGCCTCCTGTCTAAGGTATCTGTAAAGGGGCAGACTAAAAGGGGCGGCGTTGCCGTGCACACACCCGGCCGCATTCCGTCTAGCGCACACACCCCACCCTATAAACTATGCCACCTTCACGTATGTCGCATCTCTGCAGACGTGGCAGCGCTTTAATGCTAGACTTGCCTATACACAATTTGAAGAGAGATTTTGTCTATTGTTTGCAGCCAACTGCATACAGTCGCACTGACATGACGTAATGGCAAAAAACTTCAGTTTGTACGTAGGTGTTAAGTTATTGCGTACAATTACTAAGTAAACAATCTGTACCATTTTACTTTACTCTAACTGTGAAGCCCTGCCACTTTGGCACAACATTAAGTTTGTCAGAAGTCAACAAGTTACTGTAGGTAGGATGTGTGCATGATGTAACACTTAACCCACTCTAGCCTCAATGTCCAGCACCACAATGTGAGGAACAGGGATAAGGGACTACAAACTGATATTGCTAGAACATACAATGTCATGTCTGTACGTAATTACATTGTATAGATATGCTCATGCCATGTTTGTGTATTGCTTTTCACATGCTCTTGTTATACATTGTATTGCCTTATATCAGCACAATTGCTTGCAAAACTCATACTATCTCTTTTTTAATACTTACCTGTTTTGGACTATATTTCTTCAGAGAGCAATCAACGAAATGCCGAAATTAAACAAGAAATATCTGGCATTGGGAGTACTTGTACTGCAAACAACCGTACTTGTTCTTACACTCCGGTACTCACGGAAAGGTCACGAGAAGGATGTGAAGTATCTGTCTTCCACAGCCGTTGCCATCACAGAGGTGATAAAGATGTTAATATCTTTGGCAGTCGTATTTGGGCAGAATGGTAAGCTTCGCTTATAATTCTTCTGATTTTCAATATTATTAAACCACCCCTTGTGAGATTATACAGTCGTTCAAAACGTTGTCTAGGGTACCATAATGCTATGTCGGTACTAATCTACTAATCAGGTTTTAATCTGCAAATAAATTCAGATACTCTTCTCAAAAGAAAATTTTTCATTTTGTTCAACAACTAGTTTTGAACAATTGGTTTCGAGTTGTAATTCAATGGTCAGATTCTTAAATATTAAGATAAAAATAGAGCGCTGACCAGCCAGGTGTTCCTAACTTAAGGTCTCCTTGTATATCTAGTTAATGCAGTTGTATGGATAGAGTAGAATTATAATAAATATAGGATATATGTACATATTTGCAATATATACATATATGTATATATAATATACAATATATAAAGACTGAAACAACAGCGACTAGATATTATATATAGTTATACTGGTAATGGTTGAGAATGTGTTCAATACTCTCATAATATGCCTTTTTTTTATTTTAACAGATTATTCAGTGTCTAACTTTAGAAAACAGCTGAACAGAGAAGTGAAGTTCTGGGACACAATGCGGTTAATTATCCCGGCTGGGCTCTACACTGTGCAAAATAACCTTCTGTTTCTCGCGCTCACCTATTTGGATGCAGCCACGTATCAGGTAGTTCACGTGATTTTAGTACATGTCTTTTCTAAGATGTTTTTTTGTATGAATTCTTATTGCAGCGCAGTGTTTACCCTCCTTACTTGCCGTAGTACTGCTGAAATTGGGTGATATTCTTAGTAATAAGCCACCGTGGCTGCCACATCTGGTTTGCTACTGTGCCTTTCCCATTAATTCCATATTCTGTATTTATTCCTCTTTATCCAGCACAATAGGTTTTGATATAAAGAAGGTTGCCTTGATAACCCTTTCTTGATGGAAAGGTTTGCCTTTTTGCCCCTCCAACTTGCCATGGTGCCCCAAATTATCTTATTAAACTCAAGGCACCAATGCTAAAAAAACATTCATTATTTTACCCTAGTTTGCAGAAGGTTGCAAGATTTTGATCACAGCTTGGTGTGTATGTATTCATGATTACACATCTTATAGTGAAGCTAGCATGTTCCACACAGCTATAGATTCAAGCAGGTGATAATTAATCACTTCAAATGGATAGGTATGTGTAAATGTAGATTCAAACTTACTGGCGACGATATTACAGGTTACATATCAACTAAAGATATTGACGACGGCCATGTTTTCAGTCTTCATGCTGGGAAAGTCCCTCAACAGGCTCAAGTGGTTAGCCTTATTGGTGCTAATGGCTGGTGTTACTCTTGTGCAGGTCAGTTTACATATTAACTGGTTGAGCAAACATATATATGTCTTAGATATGTCATTTAAAAAATTCCCTCTTCACAGTCACACATGTGACGGTGATGTGTTCCACATTTATTGCGTGAAAATTTTGCAGTTGTTAAATGTTTTCTGCTTAATAGAATATTCAGAGATTATATTTGTTAAATTGTAGTTAAAGTGATAATACTCAAAGTTTCAAATGAAAAATTCCTGCTCTTTCTTGTGATGTACTATCTGGATGTATTATGCACTGACCTGCTGGTCTCTTCCAACTTTCGATCCTCATAATGTAGGTGACTATGGTGTTTGTCATATAAACAGTGGCCCACTGATGCTCCCGCCAACGCAGCCACAACGACTCATGCAACCGCTTCTACTAGACTGGTTGGCTTAGTAGCCGTCCTTATCGCCTGCTTCTCATCAGGCTTTGCTGGTGTCTATTTTGAGAAGTTGTTGAAAAAGTCCACGCAGTCTATCTGGATCAGGAACATTCAGCTGGGTGAGTAGGAGGACCACCTTCATCCGGCATGCATGGCAAAAGTTAAACATTTAAAGTTCAAAAGTGTATATTTATGCTGAGTTAAATCAAAGTACAGTAGAAGATAATTATATGATGATGGAGGCTATTTGACTGTGCTCATGGCAGCTGGATTCACCACTATTACTACATGATTATGATTTTTAAGTTAAGTTACAGTCCTGTCTGGTAACACTACTAGTAGGTCAACAAGACGAGCTTATAGTACTGAATTTAATGAAGATTTTGCAAATCGAAAGTTTAAGGTTGGCTATAAATGGTAATAAGTAGGAGTATAACTTTACCTGTTTAGCTAGCTTTAGTTTTTTTTAGAATATAGCTCTCTCCCTTCAAAATTCATACCTGTTTGCAGCATTGTTTGGCATCATATTTGGTTTTGGAGGCGTGTTCATCTATGACTATCAACCCATCCAGCAGAACGGCTTCTTCCAGGGTTACAACAGAGTAACATGGATCGTCATACTATTGCAGGTCAATCACACAACTGCTGTCAGTCAAAGTTGATCTATCAAAGAGTAGTAGATACTTAAATATTTACATCTTACATAATAAACTTGAAGGAAACAAAGAGCTAGAAACTCTTCAGCTGGCATGATATCAAAGCGTTTTTCAAGTTATGATAAAGAAGCAATTTTATGGGGTTGAGAGGTGAAGGAGTCTTGATAATAGCAAACACAAATGAGTTGACAGTTGTTGCTGCAGCTGTGTGTCTTTGCCAGGAGCCAATTTAAATATATTTACATGCGTAATACTTCATGCGTCATACTAAGCTAGGAGAATCCTTTGAAGAATTTGCTTTACTACAAAAGATGCTTTATTTTTAACTGGCTGTATCTATTTTAGGCTTTTGGTGGTCTGGTGGTGGCAGCGGTCGTAAAATATGCAGACAATATCTTGAAGGGCTTTGCAACGTCAATATCCATCATATTTTCAACTCTTGCATCGTATTTTCTTCTGGGAGATTTTGAGCCTGCAGGGTAAGTTCTTGTAAAAAAACTAGAACTCTTAGTTTAATGTTGGGATGCGATATTGCCTTCATCATTTCACATAATGGATTATTGTCATTGCATAGTGGGAAATTAATCATTTACCAAAGTTGGTTGTTCTTCACTTATTTTAAACTTTCTGCTTACTATCCTGACTTACATGTGTAATTATATATATATATATATATATATATATATATACTACGTCGTAGGTTGAATTTGTAATGAAGTATCGTTTGTAAGGCATATGTTTGTAATGAGTGGGCTCCCTGAATATTTATAAGTGAAAACCTTGTTCTATTCCTATGGCGTTTTTTTTATTCAAAATAGTCATTTGCCTTCTTCAGCCTGTTCTTCGTGGGAGCACCCCTTGTTATTACTGCAACATTCATGTATGGCTACACACCTAGTCCAATCAAGGTGGCTGACACGTCAAGGCAAGTCTAACATAAACTGCTCAAACTTGTACAGGTTGTTGATGGAGATATTTTTTAATGTGTTTTCCATGTGTGTAATTTTATGTGTGCATGATTGATGAACCCGTACATCTGTGAATATTTTTTGTTTTCTGCGACCCAATGGTTCAGTAAAAATCGTGGCATGCCGAGAATTTATTTTTTTGCACAGGTTATTTAAGATTCTGTGATACATGTATATGTATGCGCGTGTGCGTGTGTGTGTGTGCGTGCGTGCGTGCGTGCGTGTGTGTGTGTGTGCTTGTGTGTGTACATATGTACTTGGCTGGCAAGTATTGGCTATTGAAACTCGTAGAAAAATGGATAGCACCGGGTTAATTTTGCGTACACAGTTGGATGTAAATGACCCCACATTTTTTTTTGCACAAGCAGCGATGATGTAAATGCCAATGTTGACGTTTCACAGTTCAACAGTTCTTGTTTTCAGGATTTTGGTTCCTGTATATGCTACATAACAATTGTTAATCTTCAGTAACAGAGGAGGTAATTCAACCTGTGTTTTTATAAGGTTTTTTGTATTTATAAGGTTTGTGTTTATATGATAACTGCGTTCAACAAGTATACATTTTCCTCAAAAATTTTATGATGTTAAAATCCAATCAGATTTTTATGAGCAGGCAAATCTTTACACTGTTTTCGCCCGTGCTACGAGGACTTGATTTGCAATATCTGGCTGGAACTTGCAAACATCAGTTTTGAAATCTTGGCATGATATTGCAATATTTTTGTCAAACTAATTGAAAAATTAAACGAAGATTTGTAACATGTAGGTTTTGCAAGGTTTACTTGTTATTCATACAAAGTCGTGTTTTCAGTACATGCCTTTACTCTGTGTGCTAATGATGAACTTCCAGTGTAAGTTGAAAATATTTAGAAGCAATTCACTGCCTCTTAGTTGTTTGTGGGATTAGAATCACACATTCCATTAATGTAATATGTATATAGGAATATCTTATCTGATATCACCTGTACTATTTATACGATGTGTTATTGTGTTGAATACGTTGTACTACAGTCGTTATGTAGTTTACGTTAGACAGAATATATGATATTCTATTTCAGTAATATTGTGTTATGGTAAAACCATTGATAGGTTGTTAATTCAGTCACTGTATTAGGTTACATTAAGTTGGTGATATTGCATTGCATGATAGCCATAAACGCATGACAACACTATAAATTATACTAAAGCCAATACTCAGGGCCGGGTAAAGATAGTGCGCGGCCTGTAGCATATTATGTTATAAAGGGGCCCTAAATTAAAATATACACATAAATATTTCAACATTTTACTTGCATTTAATTAATTTTTTTTCATTTGCTATACAGACAGTTAACACGACAAATATGTCTGACATTTCAGTAATAGTATTACTTACATGTAGGTATCAATTTCAAATGACTGTCAAAAGTAACAAAACTACAATTTAAAAGTTAAATTTTCTAGATTTAGCATGAACAAATTTGTTGATGATACTGAGTGTGTGAGAGTTGGGGAGAAAAATTTAAGGAAGCTCGAATCCAGAAAAATCGGAAGAAATCGGCAGTTGAAAAATATCCAAAGCTTATAATCGGAAAATGTCCACGGTTGCTGAAATCTATCGGATCGTGTACACCGCGCTTAAACAAACCACACAGCCGACTGAGGGCTTGAGGCGTGTTTTCACTGTTCAGCTAAGGCGCGTTTCCATTTTCGTTTTGATGTTTGTGCAGCGGTTATGACTTCAGCTTCAAATACCTTCGTATTTATGCGTCGTATATGTATCGCATTGATACCACACTCGCATTACGGTGTTAAAATAATAACCCCAATTAAAGGTGATAATTGGCTAAAATCGCTAACCTTAAGCACCCACTGGCAGGCGTTCATAAAAGCTTAAGGCAGTTTAGTACTATAGTAATAGAGCAAGTACAGTATCACTGAATCGGAATTCATAGCTTGCAAGCATTTAGCCTCTTGAAAATGCGGGGCCCGTAGCATATGCTACTTTTGCTAGTTAGTTAATCCGGCACTGTCAATACTGGAGTATTTATGTTGGTTTGCAGTAAATATGTGATATTACTGTGAATTCATTGATTACAGTAGATTTATTTGCTGTAAATGCTTAGCAACAAACGTGTTTATCGAAATATGTTATCAAATCAAGTTGTGCCATGGCTGTATTTACCATTAAATTCTGAAATTAAAAACGTAATTACTGTTACTATGGATAAATTATTATTACATTTTATTTCACAAACCTATAATTTTCTCTTGTCTAACAGATTGTCAATAAAATCGAGCTGTCTATCGGAGTGTGTATCTGTCGCTTGGTTCGTTGGCTGACCACCCGCCTGCCAGTATGTCTATCTGCTTATTTACCTACCAATTTTGTTGTCTATACATCAATAAATCCGTCCAGCCATCCGCCCATCCACCCGTCTATCTATCCATCTATCCATCTATTCATCTATCCCATCCCATCCATCCATACAGCCATTTTTCCCCATTCCGTCTCGTCAATCCAGCCATCCGTCTATCCACCCTGATCCATCCGTCCATCCATCTATCCATCCATCCATCCATCCGTCTATCCACCCATCCGTCTATCCATTCATATATCCCATCGATCAACCCCTCCACCCATCGATCAACCCCTCCACCCATCTATCAACCCCTCCACCCATCTATCAACCCCTCCACCCATCGATCAACCCCTCCACCCATCTATCAACCCCTCCACCCATCTATCCATATAACCATCCAGCCATCAATCCATCCATCCCATCTATCAATCCAACCATCAATCTATCCAATTATCTTTTGTACCTATGTGCTCTTTTCGCTGCACACGCGTCCACGTGGTGACTTTTGATTTATTTCAGGTAACAAAACAGATGATTCTGAAACTATGGCACTGGAGTCTTGGCAGCTGTGTGTCACAAGAAAACGCGCAATGTCTTTCATGGAGTAAACATCGTTATTATCAGTATAACATGGACCGTCGATGTGTGTGCATAACGTGAACTGCTTCAACCGTTGCAATTTCTGCAGTTTCTATATTTAAAAAAAGATCGACTGATAATTGGAATGTTGCAATGAAGCTTTTAAGTAGAGAATCATTATGTTCTGTATAGCCGGTTGATAGCAGCTCTGGGATTTCATAGAGCTCTGTAAAAGTACACGCATGTCATTTAAATATTTAAATACTAGCACTTGCAAGGCTGATTGAGTGTCCGTGTGTTCACAAATCGACGAGTACCACCTATTGAAGCCATAGAACTGATAGATTTAGCCTCAGAAATATCGGAGGTTCTCTCGCTGCATTTATTGCTGGTTGTGATCTATGCACATTATATTGAAAATTATAAATAACCTTGTATGCATGTATAGCAGTGGAGGGTTTTGTTAGCACCCAAAAATTTAGTGTGCTGGACTTTGTTCACACGGTAGTTATTCATGGCATTCAGGGCAATATTTACGATTGCTAATACTAAGGTGAGGTTTTTTACTATGCACAAAAACACATTTAATCCGAGCCGCACTTTTTCGCCAGTCTAGTCGCATGTACGCTATACATTTAAAAAAAATAGTTTGTGCACAAAGTCGGTTGTTTTGCTATCGTTATCAAATGAGGTAAGTTATAATAAGCTATTTTTATGCCATTCCGTTCATGCGTTGTTACTGTGCTGCTGCATTATTGCGCGAGTGCTACTGTTGATTCTCATTTATTGAATTATTCTCGCTTATTGAAACTTGAAATGTGTCCAAGTCTCTTTTATAGACGTGTCTTCTATGATCGCCAGCTAATACCAGACGATTATTTATCATTAATGTTGTAATCATAGTTAATAATAAATACATATTTGAACTGCTACCACTAGCTAGTGGACATAGCTGATTCACTCTTGGCATTAATGACTCCTCGGTACTCATGGTCGCTTTTTTATTGCATTATTCGTCTCTTATTTGCGTTAGATGGTACACTTTGTTCCACGTTGTGAAAGAGAAGTATGGTATGTTGCAATATAAAACTGACAGAAGAACGTGTGTAAAATGTTCTAGCTGTGATATTTTAATCGGCACTTTACTCTGTTGGTCTCCACACTGGAGGTCAGTTGCTGTTATAAAGCATAAATATAGGTGATTTAATGCAATGCTATTAGTCAGCCAATTTCTCTACACCTTGCTGCGCATTTTGTTGCAATGTTCATAATAAAGACTGCGAACCTATCAATCTCATCAACACATGTAAATGATCGATTTGCTTACCATCGATTATACGATATATCGATCTACCTATCGATTTATGCGCGTGCTCGCTTTGCCTTTATAGATATCTATATATAATATACAGTCGGGAGATTTGTTTGGAGAAATCGCATGCTGTCATGAATACACAGATACAAGGTATATATAGATATACATTGTGTTATTATCTACTCTTGATATTATCATGCTTTAACAAATGACTAGACCTCAGGCACAGCAGGCACGTAAACAATATACAGAGGACATAGTGTCACACAACTTGACATCAAGCACCGATCGGGGTTTTAGTTACAATTGGTAGAAGAGCTTATGCTCGCTAATATTAATGAGGGGGTGCATAAAGGGTATAGTCACTTAGTGAAAGATGGTCTTAATAGTACAAATCGAGAAACTGCGTGCTCCAATTAGATGTTTATGCGCAGCATAATTCAACTGTTAGCCAGGACTTCTACTGCGCTGCTATATGCGACAAGTGTGTGCTAGCAAGCTGACAAGCGATATATGCAGGCAGTTCGTAACATTTGCTTGCGGAAACCAACAAATAGTGACCGAAACGAGTGATTGTAAATTTACGGTATAATCCACCGGTTATTTGCATTGGACCTGGAAGTAAATTCTATCAAACCAATTCCTTCACCAAGTTCTAGTATAAGGTCTCTAGAAACACCATTTAAAAGTTGAAGACTTTACCTAGTGGGGGAATACTTAAAAATTTGATTTATTTTCTGCCGACTCACCAATTTTTCAGAAATCGATATCTCAGCTTAGGAAGCACCCACAGAGCTCAATAACCACTTCAAAATGATTGGAATAGTCGAATTATGTCAGACGGAGCATGGTTTAGAAGACCCAAAACCTTTACTTTTCGCAAAAAAACATTTTTCATCTCTACGCGAGTAGCTAACCGGAATTTCAACATATATGAACAGAAGACACTTCAATAATCATTCTGAACTAACGATTGATGATATTGTATAAAATACAGTTAATGTCATGAGCTAGATTAGTAGATTGATACTACTTAGATTTACTTGTCACTTCAAGATTAGAAAAATTCTTTAGAATAAAACACTTTAAACACTAGAAAAGATAGAGAAATAGTGCAAAAGGAGTCTATATCAGAGCAATTACAGATTATATGTTCATCATCAAACTCGGAGAACAATCATCCCCCTCATCTTGAGATTCAAAGTTTTCATCATTATCCTTATCGCAATCTTGGTCTTCTTCATAATCTTGGTCTTCTTCTTCGTCTACACCAGTACTGTTCTTGCAGCATTCGTGATCACAGTCACATATATGTCAGTACAGAATAACATATGTTTTCTGCAGCATTGGTTGTTTCCACAGCCTTGCAGGCACAAGAAAGTATCTTCTTGATAGCTTCCGGGCAGACGTCTAAATGTCCTTGCACAGGTACCAGCTTCCCGCCACATCTCTCCCAGCCGTATTCTTCTGGCTCAAGGCTGTTCCCGAACCATTGCTGGACCTGATGAAAAATCGTGTTGCTTTTGGGATTAAAAGTTATTTAACGATTGAAGTTGAGCCCGCAGTGAATGGCTTTTAATAATTAATTTTAAGAATTAGCAAAAGCTGGGATTCAGGCTGAATCCTCTCCCTCCCCCGCACAACAACAGCTTTCAGGCCCGTCGAACCAGTTTCTTTTTCTCTTTCATTTTCTTTCTTTCTTTTTTTTTCTTTTTCCTTACTTTTTTTAAAATCATAGGGGGGCAACCGCCCTCCCCGTGACGCCGCGCCTGCCTAACCTTTGTGACAAAATATTTCAGTAGTTTGCCATTGCCTTCTGCAGAATATTTCCACAGGACCATCTGAGCCAGTAAGGCTTCAAAGTCCCCAATGCAGGAGCGTGGAGAGGCGTAATATCGCTGATGGATTGGCACAAGTATAGCAATGAACGCGCCAAAATAAAAATAAAAAAAAGAAGAAGAAGAAGAAGAGAAAGAAGAAGAAGACCAACGTCTAATACACCGCTTATGCCAATACAGCTCCTTGATGTAATCTGCTCTTCAACCCTCAACAACGTACACCCAAGAAAGAATGTCCACCTAACGAACATATTTTGGCTCGATGGCGTGGCAAAGACACATGCGGTTTACATTATGCAGTTGGCGGCTGGCATTGGCTTCATGAATTAGCCCTCCCACGGCCCATCGCCAACTAGGGCCCTGTAAATAAAAATTTCAATTTCAACAATATTTCATTAATTGGATCATAGATATATATACAAACGCATTTTACTCATTTCAATGGCAATCACTCAATCAAAGATATTCATTTCTGATGTCAGTTTTAACCGTATAACTTCAACGAAAAATGATTCGATTTCGGATATATACAGTACTGAACATATGCGTGAACAGAGGTATCAAACTCCACGACAGATAGAGCTGAGACACGCTCTCGCTCTGGCACGAGTATCCTGATTTGTACGAAGGGGGTGCTGCATGCAGTTAGCAGAGGTATCCCGCTATGCGACCACTGAACTATAACAATATAATATTTGTTATAGTTCAGTGTATGCAACCGGTTTGTTTGGTTCAAATAGGCAGCCCATCATTATTATTAAACCTAGCTCTTGGTTATTGAAGAGGAAATGCGCTCCCCATAATATACTGGTTGTTACGGAGGTGCGTCACCAAATGATGATGAAGGTTTCGCGGCCGCATGTGCTCACAGTGTGTGCATCTACGTATACGTACGCAGGGGCGGCGCCAGGGTATTTTGTTAGGGGGGGGCGAAACCAGGTGCGTGTACAGAAGCACGCGAAGGGGGGGTCTGGGGGGGCTCTCCCCCAGGAAATTTTTGAAATTAGACCCCCTCAGATGCGTTTTCTGCGTTCCGGACCCCCCCCTGCTCCCCCCTGGACCCACCACTGTACACGCCCCTGACTTGACCTCATCTGACCCTGGTCTCTGCTTATAGGGGTCTAGATTACACGCATATACATGATATATGTACCGGCCAAAAGACGGTATAAATTATTAAAAGATTTTGGTTACGGAAAATTTATGGCCTGAAAAAAGTGCCGCGGCTGCCGCGGCAGTTCCGACGCCCTTGCACGCACGTGTACGTGCACACGCACGCACGCACTCACGCACGCGTACGTGTCGCTGCTTTCATCGAGTGTTGAACACAATCATACAAACGAAAATGAAGACAACTATCACATCCCCCAGCACTCCTGTAGACAGCTAGAGCCATATGGTTTACATACAAGAGAGGCGTCAGTTTGGTTCCTATGGTATGTGTCGCACAGTGTGATTGGTTTATGCTAGGCACGCCCCTCAACAGCCAGCAGCTACGATGGTGTCGTGGATTTACACTGGAATTCATCAACATTTGCGTACGCAGGTGCTACGCTGCGTTGATGAATCGCACATACGACCTTTGCGTACGTACTTCGTAGAAACTACCTTAGTACCTTATAGTGCCCCTGGTGGGGTCCAGGGG